TCAAGGCATATGTCGCCTTATACGTGTCTGTCAAGCTGCAATGGCTACGAGGAAGGCACCAGCAGATTAAAAAACGGGATTTGTAGTAACCCTTTTCAACAAGATGGTCTATAGGGAGTGCTCCAGTTATCGGGGCATTGCAATTTTGAGCCTCCAGGATAAAGTCTATGCAAAGGTGCTAGAAGGCAGGTGCCGCGGAATAACTGACTCCAAGATACCAAAAGAGCGGTGTCGCTTCCGACCCGGTCGAAGCACTGCTGACCATATATTTGCCCTGTATCAAATTGTTGAAAAATCATGGGAGTTGGCCCGTCCGGTGTACAAGTGTTTTATGGACCTAGAGAAAACCTATGACCGGATCCAGCACAACAGCGTGTGGGCATGCCTGCGAACATATGAAACCGAAGGCCAGTTGCTATATCGATCACTATATGCTGATAGCAGGTGCAGCGTCAGAATAAATGACTTGAAGTCGAGACCTTTCAGCGTTGGCACTGCTTTACCCCAAAGTTGCACGCTGTTTTCTCTCCTGTTTGTGTTAAACATGTTTAGAATGATTAGGCGCAACCAGGACGATGAGTGTATTAATGTAGGAGATGTCGAGACGACAAGGTGGCTGTTTACAGCGACCTTGTTTTATTGGTATCTTCTGAAACTGATCTACAGCACTCTCTCGAAATGTTCGCCGCCACGTATGACGTGGCTGACATGCATGTGAATGTATCTGAAATGTAAAGTCTAGTATTTTGTTGTTCTTCTGCCCGTTGCTCTCTTGATATTAACAATAAAGTAGTGGAACAGGTTGAGAGATTCTAGTATCTCCGGGTCGTGCTTACCGATGATAAAAAATTTCAGGAACTGATCGACCGGTGATTGTTGGAATGGCCAGTGACGTTCTACGTGAATTAGCTCGTGCCGTTGTGTATAAAGCAGAGCTAAGTCTGAAGATTAAGTTCTCGATATTCAAGTCGATCTTTATTCACATGCTTACACACGGTTATGAGTCGTGGACCATAACTTAGAAGCTTCGATCCCGGGTATGAGCGGTTGAAATTGGCATTTTCAGGCGAGTCGCTGGCGTTAAGCGTCTCGTCTTTGTCCGGAGTAGTGTTTCGTAGTGTTTCCTCTTTAAACATAGGTCTTCCTCTCTGTTGTCCGTCCGTGTCGTTTGTTGGTCTCCAGTGTTTTTGTTCCGCCATGAGCTGAAAAACGTTCGCTCCGCCAACCTGTCGAACAGTACCCACCTCATTTCTGCCATTGTAAAGTTTTCCGTCGGCCGTCGGCCTTGACATCTTCTTCTCCATGGCTTATAGGGGCAAGTTTTATGATTTCGGTGATCATGAAAAAGTGTGATGTCATTCGCTGTTTAACCGCAAAACCGAATGGACAACTAGAAGGTTGTGACGGCGAAGGATATAACCATTGCTTACATTTCCCCGCTCTTTTTTTCTCATTACAGGTAGAAGCCACCGTTCATGTGTGTTATTCCAAGAATCATCTTTATTTTTGATGTGGTAACGGTCATTCTTTCATATTAACATCGCTGATGTGACCCAGTCATTTGTCTGTCTGAATATCAGATGGATTATCAGAAGCATTGTAGGCCTCTCAGTTAACTGCAGTTGGCGGCGAAAGTCGCTACAGATGATTTAGCCGTGGTTCTTAACTTGTCTGACCACCTCTGTTCTGTCACTTCTTAGCATTATGTGCGAACCTGAAGTGTCAGTGGGTTAGTGATAACTTCAGATATTCGCAGACAAACCAATTTTTGCTCTCACTTAGCACACCTAGGCAGTCAGGTGGCGATGCCCACTTTTATGTTACTCATCAATGCAGTATTATCTTCGTATTTCAGGCCAGCAAGATATCTGGTTGGATATGTAGAACTGCACCCCCTTTTTTAAACAAAGTTTTTTGTCGTTTTTTCAGATCAACAAGCAGTCGTTCAGAGAAAAAAATCTTTGTTATAACCGTTACTATTTGCAGCACAGTGATCTAGTAAGCATCCATTCGTTTGCCGTACAATTTCATTTATTTCTGATACAGTATTTAGTACATTGTGATAATTTGGCATGAAAGGGTTGAGAATTATTCTTGTGGCTTAGAGGCCAAGATTTACGGCGGTGACACGAGCACAGTTGTTTGAAATCAAATTGTCATCGCACGTTAAACGTTTTCATAGGAGATTAGACACGTTCTGTAATTGTTATGTTATCGATCGCTCAGCTACTGATTGCTTCATATCTATTATGGGCTATTAGTGACGATGAAACGTCGAATTACGCGGAAAGATAGATTTTAGGTCGCGACTGTCGTCCGACCAGTTGCCTTCTCCCTTGCTCGCTCGCTCGCTACGTTCTTTATTGCGTGTGCTGAACTCGAACTCTGAATTGAGTGTGACTGAGTGACAACGACGGCGATGAACTGCCGCTATTTTATCGACTCGACTTCTTTATTCGGCATTACTTTAGTGATGACAGACATCACTTGGTCTTCTCCGTCGTTGTAGGTCAGAGATGCTGAGTACACAATTCGGCATCGAAAGATCGCCGGTTGGACTGCCGACCGTAAGACTCGCATTTTGCCTTTCGAAGAAGATAAATGAATTTCACCATGCGTTGTAATAGCAAATGAAAGACCCGTAATGGATCAACAGTGTCTTGTACTTTTTTCAGCAGCAACTTCAGGTGGCTTTTCCAATGGTTCGAGTGCCGGTTATCTGCCAATAGGGAAAGGACTGCGGATTGAGGCTGAAGGTATAACAGTGCCATATGTTCAACATGCTCTAGCCGTTAGATCCCTGATTCTGTTCCTTGGTGCCTTCTATATGGTTTAGTGAAAACATCACTCTTGCGAGGTCTCTATTAGAATCATGGCTGTATGCTCCATTCGAACAAAAGTGCCGTAGTCGGACAATCGAATGACGTTCGCACCGTGAACTAGAGAACTTGACTATATTTAACGTTCGAATCTTTGTGAATATTCTGGAACCATTCGAGTACGGATGAACCGATAAAGCCATTGTACTCCGGCTAGACCACTACGTTAAATTATGCTAAATGAACACAGTTTTGCAGTTAATTCTACTGTTAATTCTGTACCAATGATGCGCCGTATTGACGATGACAGCAAGTAGGGCATGAATCGGTCAAACGAGCACTGCCATGCAAGAATTAAACCTATCTCTGGTGAGAGTAAAGAACTTATGAGCCATGCAAAGCTATCTGTCCAACTTCTGTCTATGTATCTACCACATCTATTATCAGAGCGCTCAATGCTGACTGAAGGAATGCCGTTCAGCATGCGGCAAAATGAGGTTCTATTAAAAAGATTTCCGAATCTGGCGAGGCTCATCAAACTTTGGAACACTGCGATTCACGATTCTCTTCCAAGCGAACCGCTCTTTCTGCAGAATGGGGATCAAAATTGTAATGGTTCGTGCATGTGATTCGGATGCTAGTGGATAGATTCGCAGTGCGGACTCCCTTAGCAGAGTTATGCGGACGCTGACTAAGAAGAATAAGGGCAGAATGGAGGCCAAATGGCTAAAATGTATGGAATAGCTGACATTGACGTGCGTTGAAATTCAGTTAGTCCAGCTTGCATGCCGCCGATTGGTGGTTGACGAAAGATCCGAGACATTGGAGACGCAGCCTGTGGCTACCGCGACCCGCAAGGATTGCGAGGAGATAAAATAAATGAATACAATTTTGCCACCTCACTTCATAGTCGAATTCATATTACATCGAAAAGAACATGATTCATTAAAGGAGTTGTTAGAATTGTTTTGATATGTCGAAGTAAAACGCCTTCCATGATAGAAAGAAATGCTTGAGGCACTTTCCGTTGCTTCCGCAAAGGAAATACGCCTAGGCAACTACAGGCCCATTTGAACGGTACCTTTGAATGTTTCATGTTGGCCTCTAGGGCAGTGGCTTCCTCCAGTGGGTTCACATAGAAGAATGTGGCGGGCTATGTTATGACCTGGCTCATGGTTCAATCAAATCACGTCATGATCGAATCCGCATCACGGAACTTAAGTCTCGCAACGTTACCGCTGAAGTAGAATGTCTGTGCCAATGAACGAGCCATTTCGCGAGCAGAAATGACTCTTTTCGCGGAATTATAGGTGTGATCGACGTTACTACGGTTAAATGTATATTTTCCTTTATTCTTGTTTCCATCGCCATTGTCTCCCTCACCTCGTTACCATCAAGATTCTTGTCGCTCTAGCAACTGTTTATGTTTTCTGCGCCTTGCTCGTCATTCCTTTTTCAACGAAGGACTGACGGGATCGGCACCCTGTTTGTACCCGTTAATGCCAAATGGAGCGCAAATTGGATTTCTCTGCTGGCGGTCATGAATTGTCCTCCATTTGTAAGTTTACCTTGCGGCTAGGCAGTTTCAACCGAATCGCATCCAATTCCTCGATAATGAATTCAGCGTCGTGTATACAACAGGTCTTAAGTGCGTGCAGATGCCAGTCCATCTGCCCGTGTCGCTCGATCGATAGATGCTGCAACTGCTTCCTCCTCTTTTTCATCCTCGTCCTCCTGTCCTTCATCCAAGTGCATCGTCCTGTCGTCGGTGTAGTCATTGTTTTTAAACGGTGTTCGAGTTTAACCGCTGTCAGTCGATGTCGAATCTAATTCGTCGCCCTGTACATGCGATTAGACGAAATTGGCCACAACCGATTGGCGGTCGTTGTCGTCTAACAGCTGCTGTTTTGCCGTGTAACGTTAATAAAAAAAGACCTGGATCGAAATGCCAAAGCTTGTTGTCAGCACCGCACCTCACAAACAAATTTAGCCCTTGCTGCGGGTATGAGGTACGCGGCGAATAAGGGTCTTGTCGATTGAGTGACTTCAGGGAAGAGTGCTAAAATGACGCAGGCAGGCCTAATGTCCAATGAGCAAGCAAGCAAACAAACAACATGTTTCGTTTCGGCACTCGTACCGCGACCTTTCTCTCTGAAAATACAACGACACACAAAACGGTGGTTACACAACGGTTTGCATATGCAGGATACAGATGAACGACGCGGCACACCATGTGTTAAATATGAGCAGTGTGAACGATCCGGTGATAAACAGACAGATGAGGATAAGCATGGCGATCGAGTTGCCGGACAACGTGGCGCTGAACTGGCTGCCGCTACCGCCTACGCCGAAGCTCGTCCTCTTGCTGCGGTCGGCCGACGCGGCGGTGACCGCTACGGCGACGTTCGGCTCCTCCTGACGTAGGCCGTTCCTCACCAACTCGTCGTCGCCGTTGCAGAACTGAGTGTTGCATATGCACTGGATTGCCTCGATGCCGGTGATGTCGGCGCGCACGCAGCGCGGTCGGTCGATGATCTGCGTGCAGCCCTTGCGCACTGACTTCTTGCCTAAACGAGCTTTCTGAGAACCGTCGCCTAGCCGCCGGTAACGGTTTGGCTCAAGCAGCCGTCCATCGTCCGGCAGTGTTGACTTTATTGTCACTTAGCATTTGTTTTGCGCCGTCTGTTGGGCGTCATCGCGCTCCAAGGGAAGACACCCTCAAACGAACAGCCGCCATGTCCGACGCCGACCAAAGGTCGATGCTTGGCACGAATTTAGATATTGATGTACTTACGGTTTGCGGTAACGGCCTCGATCATGATGCATGCTAGTCCGGTACATTCGCCGACGTTGCAGCTGCCTGACTGATTATTGCACTGGTAGCATTGTATGGCGTAACCTGAAACGACGCACGACAAGCAGGAGTGAGCGGCTCAAAGTTTAGTTTTGCACACAGATGCGCACGCTTTCAACAAATCGTCTTTTTCTGCAGTGAAATAATGCTTGAAGGCTTCTTTTAAACATTTCCCTCGATTCAAGATGTCTCTTATGTTTTCCAATACTTTTTCTCAACTTAGGATTAGGTATTTAAATCAAGTTACCAGAGGTTGATCAAGATAAACATATAATTAGTTTACGGCAAAACGTCTCTCTCCTGCGAAATGTATTATGGCGAACAGCAGCACTAGCAGCTTACTGTTGTGACTACGGCAATAAGTAAGCGCTTCGTAGGTAGGGAATATTTTCCCCTTCGTCGGTTGCCGTAGACTAAGCAACGTTCACATGGTTTGATTCCACAATGTCGAGTTTGTCGGAAACGAGGCAGAGGCCTTCTTTAAATTATTTTCGGCACCGCACGGACTGGGAAATCTTGTCCTTTTGACTCCACTACAAATCCAGATCGGAAAATCGCTAAAGAAAGTCGATGAGAAGCATAAGGAGACGTCTGGATCCGATTATCCGCATACGGCCACTTTCTTTAAAATGGAAAGGCAGGAAAATTTGTTACCGACCGTTGGAATGTCGGTTTTCCTGTTTTCCTTACAATTTTTTGATGGGACCATTTCTGGTGCCCTTTTCTTCATGAAGTTTTGGTATGGTGGGGCGATGATCTCCATTTCCATACCATCAGCTTTGTAGTCATATGGTGAGCGTAGTGGGAAGTCTAATGTTTCTTTAATGTTTTCATCCTACTGAGTGGTACTCATCAGCGTCTAAAGAAAGACAGGCTAGCTACCCGACTGGGACTATACCTCGTGACCACTCAGGTTTGAGTCCGATGCTCTACCGACTGAGCAGTCTCACCACTGTACCGTATTTTGCATTAAGCATTAATAAACCGTTTTGCAGTTTTTAGTTTCATGTATCCCCTTCATTCACTGATTCATTCATTCTTTTTCAGTTACTGTTATTTCTTCGGGGTCACAAGAGCAGTCCTTCAGAATGCATTTTCAATGGTCTCGGTTTTCCGCCCAACCGACAAGCTCAAGGAAGGCGTGGTAATCCAGATCTTCTCTATAATCGAGCTATCTCCGGCATGCCTCTAAACCGTCGCCATGTGGCTTTGCTAAAAGATTTCGCTGCGAATCTGTTAGCTTATTTCGTACCGAAATCATCGTGCTTGTGATCTCTCGACTAAAAGAAGGAGCGGCTTTATAAGGAAGGAATATAAAGAAACTTGTGAGCGAAGGATACTACTTGCAGTCTGTAGTATCTCAGAAATTTTTTCTACCCTCTTAATGCCAGCAGTTCGTCTGTTTAAGAAACGTAATTTCTGCCTCTTCTATCGGAGATGGCAGCATTTGCGCTCTTTAGGTCAGTAGTCAGAGTGAGTAGACATGAAGACTTATAGGTTGACGTTGTTTAGCTCTTTCGTAATCACCATGTTTAGCGTATATAGTGAGTATTCTGCAATAACGCAAATCCAGTACAGCAAAGTTCAAAAATCTGCTCCTTTAGTTTTACTTAGTTTTATACGTGTACGTATGAACCCAGTTATTGTGGAGTTTGTAGCAGAAAAGACTGGTGTACAAAGCAAAAGAACAGCTATTACGGTGGGGGGGGGAGAGACTGACGTCGTTTCAGATAAGAGATAAACAGAAACAAAGTAACATTGGTATGTTTCACAAAAAAAACCGAATTAGCGAATTCATTGGTAACTGCTTAACGCCATATCAGTCACTGAGAATCTGGGCTAACGCAGGGAAGAAGAGCAATGGTAAAGTTCTGTGCAGGAGTATACACGGTCATTCTGTACCGCTGTAGAATGAAACACATTATGATCATGAATAAAGAACGGATACAGAGCGCACGCATCATTTGCGAACGTGTAACAGTTTCCATGCAAACATTTTCAGATACCGACTGATTAAGCGTATAGGAAGATTAGTTTCTACAGGAATTGACAGCTAACTCAGTGCTTAAGCTTTTGAGATAATCTTAAAGACAGAAAGTCGCAAAATGGGGCCTTGTCAGATGACTCCAGAAAAACGTGTAAAGGGATTAAAAGAGTGACAAGACAACTACTTTTATTGAATGTTGGGAACATGCATTTCAAGGCCGTTTTTCGTAAAGATGGTTAGACAACTTACCCCATCATGCATTTTCCACAGCAGATTTGTTGTTGTGAGGCTAAATGTGAGCTGTGAAGTGGAAATGTAGCCGCAATGAACAAGAACAATTAGAAAGCCAGAAAATTCAAATGCGTACACCTACGAGTTTCTCCCTAAAGAAAGTTCACTATTGATAGAAAGCATAATGCGCTATTTGCTCGCTAACCATCTAAAATGTTGATAGTGACGGTGAAAGACCGCAGATCAGTTGCGTTCTGATCGCATTGATTTGTATCCTATCTGCTGCTAAGTTTTAGGGGCACAGTGGCAAATGGGTCGGTTTTGAACACCGGAGGTGCAGCCAGCAGTGAGTTGGAGTCCCAGTAAGGCAAATTTTGTCTTAATCGCTAACTGCATTAAGCAAAGAATTCACCCCACGGCCTATAAACGAGTAGCAACTGGCTGACTTGCGAACTGCGGGGCAGCGTGGTGTTCTGGCGTGGTCATGCCGTAGTAGGCGAGGGCTACGGCCGTCCTGCGTGATGCGATCGTATCATAAGGCCGCATTTCGTCCTGACCCTCCTGATAGCTGCTTATTCAGTGTCATAATCAGTAAAAGATGTAATTCCTGTTGTTGTTGTGATAAATTAGTCAATGATTAGGCTTAGACAACGTCACTGTGAAGGGGACAAAGTTTGCCGTCACAACCGAACGGTTACTTTCAGATATGGTTTTTCGCATTCTGTACTCTCTCCTCAGTTATTGAAATTGCTGTGCACTGTGTGATGTAGAGAAGCTTTATTTTGAAGCACTCGATTGATCTAACATTATTCATCGATGTGTTTCACTGTAATCAGCTTCTTTGAATGTGAATGATATCGTGCTACGGAATAACTTTGTAAATACTCCGTTTAGACTCACTGTAAACTTGCGTAGCGCGTATGTGGGATTGGAACGTTTAGTTACCCGCCAAGAGAACGCACCAGTCGAAACTGGTAACCAGTGGATAGTGTATAATCGTATGGCAATAAAGGAGGTGGATTATTTCAGATTTCTTGAAACAGTCGTGGCTAACGACGGCAACATTTTCTTTTTAGTACACTACGGACGTTGCAACTGGGGGCATCTTTCGTGACACTGGTGTCACGGCACGCATTGATTTTGATTCTTCCTTTGGAAGAACTTCATAAACATACTTTTCCCGCCACCTGAAAGGAATAACGTGTAGGCTTTAAAAATGGACGGATAAATGTTTCATTTAGGTTGCTAATCTTCATAGCTCCCAGTAAAAAAGCGTAATGATCTGCAGTTCAGCTATGAAAATTTTCAGTCGGGTATTCTTGTCAAAGATAGTCTTTCCCTCAACGAGTAAAGAGATCTGCCCTCTTTTGGTAACTTTAGTATTGATAGCTATCTTTTCGTAGTTGGCGACAAGCCGTAACAGTTACATTAGCGGCGTGGAACTCACATGATATTTAGCTACAGCGTGCATGTTATTCCGTTATGCGAACTTCCGTTGTGAACAGCAATGGACAGGCACTGCGGAATGGTTCCACCGTAGAGAATTTCAACCATCTGAAATATCTTGCAATTATTTTGGCGTTGATCCTGACGATACCCATGCACTTGACTGACATCATCGAACTTTTTGGTAGTATGAAGTGTATGAAGACCAAACAATAACGGTGAACAGATTACACACAAATTACAGTTGAACAAATCGCAAACAAAGCCTATCACAAGGATCAGCTTGCGGGTGTATTTGACATCGTGCAGGACATGAATCATGATAACAAATCATGACAGGATACGCGGGGATGTCATAACCCTCTGCGCTGTCAAGTTAGTCAAATGATATTGTTGCAGACTAGCCGACCGTGAGGCTGGCCGGAAAAGACACTGATATCCATCTAAATAAATTGTCTGTAACGGAGTTGGGCCGCACCTGTCGACAATTATCAAGCCAAATCGGTACCAACTTTTGATCGTAGCAGGCACTGCGCAAGACAGAAATCAGCGGCGAAGGAAAACAAGAGTTGTAAGGATTTCGCCAATATTACAGACATTCAGTAATCGAATCAAAGCGCCTTCTTGCCGCTCATGGGTTGTCTTCCGTTGCAGTGTCTGGCGTTGCTTCTTTTATGATTCTCCCCATTGCAGAAAAGGGACTTGTTGATTTAGGCATGCTTTTCTGTTGTTATCGGCTCGCGTCAAGGAAAACAAGGCAGTCTGTCCTTTGAATTGCGTCTAAAATTCGTGTACACAAAACCAGATGCTATCTCTAGTGATAAATAAAGCCTTTGAACTCTGCCTTCTTTAGTTTCAAGACTGCCACCGTATTGATGGCCAGAGCTTTTAGTTGTCACGAGTGTGACTTACGTCCTTGCCCATGACACCATCATGCTTTTCTTCAGCTCATTTTATTCAGTATTTTAACCTACATAATGCCTTAACGAGGATCGCTTGACGAGTTGTCAGATTCAGAAAACAGCACTCATAATAATCATGAAATTCTGGCCAAAGCAAGGACGCACCGTGCGAACTTCTCCTATAGCTGATCGTCGTCTCAACGAGACACGGAACAAACGTTGTGGAACGGTCTTCGGTTAATCGAGCGTTATTTAATAACAGCAATACTGAGATTACCTTAAAAGCAAATGTCTGGCTGGCACTGAAGTCTCTTGATATCAGAAAATGACTGTCAAGAAGTAAACCAGCCTCGGCGCAACTCACATGGACATGGTAACGGATTGGTTGCGTGGTCTTAGATGATGGAAGATGAGAATCGTCCTTGTTAGGCAACGTGTCTTGAAGGTACACTGATCGACTAGATCGTAACACGCTTCGCTGCGATTTTCTCATTTTCTTTTTTGACCTGTGCTGCTCACTGTCGTTGAATCGTAGTCCAGCGGTGACAGGTTTTGCGAACAGAGCAGAAATGCGCAATTGATACTTGTTTGTGTTTAGCCCGCAAAACGATAGATCGGTCCCTCCCGTCATCAGAACGGGATGTAAGCTTTTGGCGTTTCTTATGGCGCTTTTGCGCGTTCGCAACTTCAGTAATGGTCACAACGACAATTTCAGTGTAGAAATGAACCTGTAGGACGATTTCATTCATTATCATCATTTACTACGGTATTTGCTTTAAAAAAAGAAAATTAAAATTCTGGGATAGTGGGCTTTCGTGCATTTCGATGGTGAGTGCTATTTGTGGTATACTTCTTTTTATGAAGCTTATGGTGCGACTCCGAACAGCTTTTATGTGACTTTTTCTAAAGACGACATATGGCAGGCACAAATGGTTTCCTGTTGTCTTCCATCACATAATGCGGATAACCTGAACTGCATTCGAACCGACGAACTTTCGACTAAGAGCTCTCCGCTCAGTCGACTTGGCTTCCATTATCATATATTACTCTCAAAAGAAGACGTTGCAAATTTCGTTCGCTATAGCCATCTTCCCATCCACCACATTGGGAACTAGTTATTAATAACGTATGCTGGAGCGACAGACTGTCCAGTCTGTTCTCCTCTGACTTCTGCTATAGTCAATGAGCCTGTTACAAGGCTGAATGGAAACGGTCGAATAGCGCGGCAATGGTAAATAGAGATTGACAGATCTCGGAATACCTCTGAGCAAAGGTTGGTGAGGAAAAAGTATTCTGAGTACAAATCCGGACAGTACGATAGACTGAGGGGCAGCCATATTCCTCCCGAAAAAAGGCATAAAGCACTTCGTCTTCTATCTGAAATGATCATCCAAATCAGATCAGGTTCTGCCTCGGCCAGCTAAACCAGAAGAGGACTGCTTTTGGTTATAAGTATGTGATGCTGCAGATGAGTATCTTTAACATAATGTCGTCGGAGGGCTGTCTTGGCTTAACCGTTCTACATTATCAGTGGAAACGTCACTTTCGTATTTGTCGTCGTTGACGGTGCCGCTGCCATAACGCACAATGCTCATCGCTTTACAGCACTACACATGCGTGCCTTTCGACTCTGAAGTGGATGTAGTTCCAGCGCGAAACGGTTTTCTCCGAACACACGGACGGTCATACGTACACCGTCAAAATGGTCATAATTAATTATTAAATTATGCATATGCGTTACATATATGCACAAAATGTTTAACACTTACTCTTTGCGATGTTACTGAACAAGACCAGCAGACATATGAGGCCGAGTAGCGCCCTGCACATTTATCGACTGCTCGCTCGAGTTACCCGGCCGAGTACGCGCTGCTGGTTGACACGTTTGTCGCTTCGATCCAATAGACTTTATTCTGGCTAAAGTAATCTTGTTTAATGCTAATAATGCGTTGAATACGCGCATTTTTCCGCACTTACTGCGGATATGTGAAGCGAAAAATCCTATCGGATCAGCCATGCCCCGTTTCTCATTAAGTATTAATCCGGCGATGCTTTTTCCCTCTTAATTAATCGGTCGGCGGTAGAGGCGGAGGCAACACCACCGATTTTTCGTACCGTCATTCGTTTTCGGAATAGCACATCCGCTCACTGCCCTACTGACTGACTGACTGGCTGGCTGCCTGAGCTGGCTAGCTGGCTGCCTGCCTGCCTGACTGACTGACTGACTGGCTGACTGACTGGCTGGCTGACTGACTGACTGACTGACTGGCTGGCTGACTGACTGACTGACTGACTGACT